AATCAAGGACTCCAGGGCATTAAATTTAACTTTTTAAATGCATTTTATCTTCTTGTATTTAATATAAGTTTAATCCTCCATATACTTTTTATTCTATTAATGTGTAAAACGCTATAACTATTAGGTTTTAATAATCTTAAAAAGGGCAAAACTTAGCACAATCTGGTGTTAAAATAGAATGAAATTATTAAACTGAAACAAATTAATTTTATTCCATATTTTATTATTTTTATTTAAAGATAAAGTAATTTTATTTTTATATATAATTAAAACTAATTTACAATAATATTATTTAATTAATTATGCATACTAAAGTATTTAATTATATTGATTATTAATATTATTATTTTTATTTTAAAAATAAAAAGATTATATATAATAAATAATAAAAAAGATATATTTAACAAAAATATGAGATATATTATATATAATTTAAAGTCAAATAATTTGTATATTAAATAATTTAAGTATCTTTTAAATTTATTAAAAATTTAAATATCAATTATTTGTATATAAGAGATTCCATTTTTTATTAAAATGAAAGTATTATTTTTTATTTAAAATTATTAATAGTATTTAATTAGACTTTATTATTTGTTGTATAATAGAATTTATATTTTCTTTTTCAAACGTAATAATTCTATATATTCGATTTTCATAATAAGTTATGCCGGCATATATTATTTATATATTCTATTATTAATAAATAAAGTTATATAAAAATATATAATAATATAATATATTTTTTTATTTTCAAATAATCTTTTATTAAAAAAGATAAAATTAAAGATTAAAATATAAGATAAATTAAAATTTTTTATCAAAATATATAATATAATAATTTTTTTATAAGATAACTAGATATTTATATTAATATTTTATAAAAATAAAATATATATTAAATATAATTTAGATTAACATTAAATTTATTTTCATAATAAATTAAATTTTTATTTTGATATAAAGTTAAATATTATTTATTTATTAAAATATATTCAAAAACTATTATAATAAAAGTTATTTATACTAATATAATTTAACTAATTATTTTTTAAGTCATAATATAATTTTTTTTAATATTAAATTATTTGTTATTATCATATTGCATTTTAAAAAACAAAACAAAAACAAAAATATTCATACATATATTTTAAATAAACTCATTTTAATTTTTATATAAAATTAATGCCTATATAATATATATATATATATATATATATATATATATATATATATATATTGTTAAATCTAGGTTTTTAAAAAATATTCTTTGTTATTTATTTCAATTTAAAGGATTTGTAGGTAATACTTAATTTTATTAAGTATTATTATTATTATAGTTATTTTAATTAAATTATTAATTATAAGGATTCTATTAAATTGGATATAAATAAGGCTAATTAGCATTAAAACCAAAATTTTAATTATTTTATTAATTATAACCTTAATAATCATTTTACTGATTTAAAGTTACACATTTAGTAATATAATTTTCAAGTAAAAAAGTATTTGAATTAAGTATAATTCTATATAAAATATTTAACCCAGTAAATGTAAAAATACAATACCAAATCCAATTTAAAAAAAAAGGTGCTTTAGCGCCTTAAAGAATTGCAAATACATTTGAATATTATTCAAAATCACAATTCTCTAACTTTAAAATCCAAATAAATTATTAGTATCTATCTTTTTTATCGACTACTTTTTTTAATTCTTCTACTTATTTCTCCCATTTAATTTCCGACTATCTATCTTTAAAAGTAAAATCCAAATGATTATTAACTCTAAAAAACTTCGCCTATTCGAAATATTCAGATATGTTTTATGAAATATCTTCACAACTTGAGATTTTCATAAATATTTCTTTTGTAAAAGTATTTACTCTTTTGAATTCTTACCTTGGCGTTTGTAATGATAGGCAATTCCTTTGTAGGAAATTACAATTTTTTAAGTTTTGTATTTATGAAATATATTATTTAATTCATCTAAAAATAGTCTATTACTTAAATATTTAGTTATTTCACAAAGCATAAAACAGTCGTAAAAATATACTAAAAATAATAATATTCCAAATACTATATAACAATATATTAATTTATCAAATTTTAAGCTTAAATAATATATCATGATTACATAAGCAATAGTTAATATTAATAAAAGTAATTAGACTTTTGGAGGCTTACTTGAAAATGAGTTATTCCATTTTGGTCTCTTAAATTTACATTGTTATGGAATTTTTTGTACTTATTAAAATTCAATATTATCTATAGGCAAAGCTGGAGGAGGGGCGGATAATGGATAATCATTAAAAAAAGGTTAGTTTTAGTTATATTACATTTTTATTAATTATTATTTGTAGATTATATTTTTATGTAATTTTTGTTATTTATTTTATATGAATTATAATAATTTTATTTTAAATATAAAGACTATATTAAATTATTTACAATATTTATTTATGAATAATAACAAAAGATTATTTTTTAGCATTTTATTTTTTTTAAAAAAAATTCAATAGATAAACAAAAAAAGGGGATGTGCGTAAAAAAATGGATTATAATTTTTTTTTATGATTGAGTTTTATAAATAAAAAAATGCTAAAAAGTGATAAATAAAAAAACTTTAAAATTTGATATTAAATATCTATATATAATTTATAATTAATTTAATGTAAAAATAAAAAAATATATAATTGAGGAAAATAAAATATATGGGATTAAAATTTAAATGTGTTTTTAGTTTATTACATTTATTTATTTTATTATTCTACTTATTAATTAATAATTTGTATACTTTTAAATAATATGAATAATTCATAAATTTGAATCTTTATTATATATATATATTAATTTACTTAAATTATTAATATATAGAATCCATAGTTTTATTTGTGAATATATTAGTTAAATTATTATATATTATTAATTTCTATTTAATATATTATTTAAAAATTAAAAATATAAATATTTTTTTTTATCTTATAAATATATATTAATTATATACTTATGAATATTTTTAATAAATTATAGTTAATTAGTAAAAACTAATTTTAATAATTAACATATTTAAAATTTAATTATATAAAAATAAAGTTATAGGTATTAGGTATTATAAGATAATAATTAAAAAAAACTTAAATTATATAAGAAAATAATAAATTTTAATAAAAATATATATTTTAATATAACTCAGTCATAATATTTTAAAATAATTATTAAATTAGCAAATTAAAAATAAGATTATTCTAAAAAAATTAAACTATATATATAGTTTTTAAATATTATTATAAAATCAAATACACATTTTTTAATTTTTAAAAAAAAAATTATTATTTTATAATAATCCTTTCTATCTTAAATAATTATAAAATTAGTTCTTAAATATTATTTTTAAAAAACTATGAGATTACAGTATTTTTTAAATATCATCATTACTTTATAATTTTTAAATTAGATATTATTATCGAATAAATATCTTTATTAATTATTATTATGTTTTTATTATTATTATTAGTAAAAATTATTTATCAATTACTACTCCACTTTTTTACCTATAAAATTTCCTCATAATTCCGACTTATAAATAAACAAAAAAATATTTAATAAATTAAATTTAATTCGACTAAAGTAAATATAAAATATAAAAAATACTAATATTCAATTTAATTATTTAAATAAAAATTTGAATAATTATTAAAAATAAAAAAACAACTTAAAAATTATATTTTTATTATTAAATTATTTCATCATCATTATATTTCTAATATTTTATACTTAATAGTAAAAATTAAATAATATTTATAATTTAATTATATATAGAGTATTTAAAAATAGTTAAAAAAAGTTATTTAATATATCTTAATATATTTATATTTTTTACTTAAACGTACAATTCTTATTCATTTAACTTTTCTTAATTGTTTTATTTACATTTTTTTTGCATTTTATATATTAATGATTTGTTTTTTTTTTTAAATATCTCACAATTATCAATACAAAAATAAAAAAAATATAAAGTACAAAACATATTAAAAAACCTAAAATGCATTTTTATCTATTTCATTATTAAGATAGTAAATATTCATTAAGAAAATTAATATTTTACTAGGCATATTGCTTGAATATAAGGAAATAAAGATTTAAATAGCATATCTATATATATATGATTTAATTTTTTCGATTTCTTATTATTCAATTTTTTATAATTAGATGTCTGTAGAAATTAAAGGATTATCTATTTAAAACAGATAGTTATTTTTATAATATTTAATTGAATTTGATTGATTAATAATGAAAGAAATACAATGTATAAAATTATAAAACGCCGTTATTTTTAATTATTATTATTAAATTAAGACTTTATTATATATTTAATAAAATATAAAAAATAAAAGTATTATAATACATTGAATAGAATTTTTTCATTCTTTTATTAAAATAATTAATTGGTATTGAAATATTTTATTTATAATCAAAATAATAAAATATAATAAATCAAAACAATATCTTTTCAAATAATTATTTGCATTTTATATATAATTATTAAAAAATATATAAATGAACTAAATTTATATTTATGAATAAAATAAAATTTAATAATTGAAAATAAGATTAATTTTAATCTATAAACCAAAGTAATTAATTTTTCATTTTTACAATAAATATAATTTGATTAAAAAGCGTAAATAAAATAATATATATATATATGTAATTTTATAAAAAATTAACTAAAATATTATATAGTTTTATATATATATGTATATACTAATTTAAAATATATATTTTTATTTTTTAAAAAACCATAATTTCTTTTTATTTGCTAAAAAAAAAAAACATTATTATTTCTATTAATTACTAAATTAAAAGAAACCAAATTTAATTTTATTATAAAAAAAAAATTGATTACATAAAAAAAATGGCTAATATAGACGATTTATTTGAAGATTTTCAATAAGAAGAAAATCAAATAAACATTGATGAATCAAGTAAAAACCAAGACTAAGAAACTATAAACTAAAAAAGGAAATTATAAATAATCTAAGAAGAAACAATACCTGACGATTTATAAAAAAAGCCAAAATCAAATATGTAAATAAAACAATATTATTATTATTTTTTTCAAACAAACAAACAAAATAAAAACAGTGCAATAGTAAATATTTCATAAAATGAGACATTTATATAAGAGTATAAACTCAATAAAAAAAAAAAAAACACATAAAACAAAAATTAAAAAAAAAAAAAGAAATGAACGAAAAAAAAGCCGAATATAAAAAAATCCATTAATTAGAGGAATTTGAAATTTTAAACGAAAAATCAACAATAGTAAATTGCCAACATGAAGTATTTTTCCCATAAGACTATATATTCACACGTAAATACAAAATTCCGCAAAAAAAAAAATAAAAAAAATAGCAAAACCAAAAAGACCTGCTGCAAAGCAATATCCATTTACCCTTGATCATTTTTAAAGAAAAGCAATATCCTGTATAGAATAAAACGAGTCAGTTTTAGTCGCTGCTCATACTTCAGCAGGTAAAACAGCCGTTGCAGAATACGCAATTGCCCAATCTTTAAGAGAAAAGCAAAAAGTAATATACACATCGCCTATAAAAGCCTTATCTAACCAAAAATACAGAGAATTATAGAAAGAATTCAAAGATGTAGGTTTAATAACAGGAGATGTTACAATTAATTAGACTGCAAGTTGTCTAGTAATGACAACAGAAATTTTAAGAAGTATGCTATATAGAGGCTCAGAAATTACGCGAGAAGTGGCATGGGTTATTTTTGATGAAGTGCATTATATGAGAGATAAAGAAAGAGGTGTTGTATGGGAAGAAACAATAATTTTATTAAATTAAAATGTTAGGTATGTTTTTTTATCAGCAACTATACCTAATGCAGGTGAATTTGCAGAATGGATAACTAGAATTAAAAAATAACCATGTCATGTAGTCTATACAGATTACAGACCAGTTCCTTTGTAACATTTTATATTTCCAACAGGAGGAGAAGGTTTATATTTAATTGTTGATTAAAAAGTAAAAATAAATAGATATATAATATAGAAATATATAAATATATAAATATATAAAAATATATATTTATATATATATATATATATATATAATATTATATCTATTAATTCTAATTTTATTTAGGGTAATTTTAGAGAAGACAATTTTCAAAAAGCATTATCTGTAATGGGTGATAATATAGATTTGGTAAATTTGGATAAAAAGAAAAGAAAAAAACCTACTGAGGGTGCCGATTTGAATAAAATATTGAAAGTAATTGTAAATAAAGGACTTGATCCAGCTATAGTATTTTCTTTTTCAAAAAGAGATGTTGAAAGTTATGCTAAATCGATGGGTTCAATGGATTTAACAAGTCAAGAAGAAAAAGAAAAAATAGATATGTTTTTTAATGGAGCGATTTCTTAATTGGCTGAAGAAGATTAAAAATTACCTTAAATAATTTAGATTTTACCAATTTTGAGGAGAGGTATAGGAATGCATCATGGAGGTTTACTTCCTATTGTAAAGGAGATTATTGAAATTTTGTTCCAGTAAGGACGGATTAAAATACTCTTTTCAACAGAAACATTCTCTATGGGAGTTAATATGCCTGCAAGGACTGTAGTATTTACATCAGTAAGGAAATTTGATGGAGAAGATTTCAGATGGATTCAAGGAGGTGAGTATATTTAAATGTCAGGAAGAGCTGGAAGAAGAGGTAAAGATGATAAAGGTTTCACTATTCTTATGGTAGATTAAAAAATGGAACCTGATGTTGCAAAATGTATTGTATATATAATAATAGTATATTTATATATAAATATATAAATATATAAATATATATTCTATATATATTAAAATAAATTTATATATATATATATATATATATATATATATATATAATTTTTTTTTTATAGAAATGCTAAAGGGATAATCAGATCCCTTAAATTCGGCTTTTCACTTATGTTATAATATGTTAATTAATTCAATGAGATTAGAGGATACTGATCCTGAATATATAATAAGAAGGTCTTTACTATAATTTTAAAATGATAAATAATTGCCTGAAATGGAAATTAAGGTAAAGTTTTATAAAATATATATATATATATATATATATATATATATATATATATATATATATATTTATATATATATAAAAAATATTTTTATTTATTATATATGTAATAAATAGCTCATACAATTAAATAAATAATATAATGAAATAAATATTGAATATGAGGGTTAAATATCTGAAATTTGTAAATTTAAAAGAATAAATAAAAATTTATGATGAAAAAGAAAGAAAAATAGTTTTATAAGATAAATATATACTACCATATTTATAAATTGGAAGACTTATTCATGTTTAATATAAAAACTAAGATTGGGGATGGGGAATATCAATTAATTTTCATCAAAAACGAGTAATTTAAAATAAAAAAGAAAAAACTTTTCAGAAGAAAACCAACCTGAAGAAATAATTGTAGTTGATATAATGATACATATAAAAAAAAGAGCTAATAATGAAGAACCAAAGCCAGCTAAAATAAATGAAGATGGAGAATTAGAAGTGATTCCAATGAATTTATCATGTATAACAGAATTAAGTAGTATTAAATTAGATTTACCATCTAAGTTAGATACATAAGAAAATAAAATGATGATAAAAGAAACTTTAAAAGAAGTATAAAAAAATATTGAATAAAATTTAATTATTATATAAATTATATATACTTAAAAATTTTTCTTTTATATATTTATATTATATATTATATATTTATATATTATATATATTTATTTATAGATACATTAAAGTTTTACTGAAAATATTCCTACAATTCATCCTATAAAAGACATGAAAATAAATAATGAATAACTTGACAAAATAATAGATAAAAAAGAAAAGCTAAAGGAAAGTAAATCTAAATCAGAAAAAAAACTCTTAATTAAAAACGTTTAGCAATAAATATAAAATTATGAAAAAAAAATTAAAATTAAAACGTAAATTGAAAAACTTAAAATAGAAATTGAAAAAAATAATAAAATTGTTCTAGAAGTAATCTTATTTATATTTATTTATTTTTATTTTATAATTATAGGAAAATTTAGTATTTATGACTAGGGTTATGAGAAGACTAAGTTTTTTAGATAAAGAATAAATTGTATAATTAAAAGGTAAAGTTGCATGTGAAATTTCTGCTTGTGATGAAATTTTAGCTACAGAGCTTTTATTTGCTAACTTCTTTAATGATATGACTCCTAATTAAATAGCAGCTGTACTTTCTTGTTTAGTTCATGATGAAAATTCAAATTAAGACAATTAATAAATACAAGATAAAGATTTATCTAAATATTTTGATATTATTATAGACCATGCAAAAAGAATATATATAGTAATGTAAGAATCTAAAATGGAAATAGAAGAAGTAATATAGTTATAATATAATAATAAAAATAATTAAATCTAAATAATTATATATAAATATAATATATATATTTATATATATATTATAATATTTTTTACATATATATATATATAATTTTTTTTCTAGAAAGATTATCTTTCAACTATAAAACCTTAATTAATTGATGTTGTTTATAAATGGGCTTAAGGAGATTCTTTTTCGGATATTTCTAAGCTTTCAAATTGTTATGAAGGATCAATTATCAGAAGTGTTAGAAGATTAGATGAATTATTAAAATAAATGGAAAAAGCATGTGAAATTATAGGAAATGAAGTTATTAAATATAAATTATTTTATTTAATTATTTTTTTTTTAGATTTTATAATAAAAATTTAAAGAAGCATCTAAAAATATTAAAAGAGGAATTATTTTTGCCGCATCATTATATATTTGAATTTTAATAATTAAAATATATATATATATATTTTATATATATTATATTTATATATATATAATATATATATATATATATTTATTTATTTAAAATAAAAACAAGTATTTATTTTTCTTTTTTATTTAAAAAGAAAATAATAAAAGTAAAAAAAGACTAAAATTATTTATTAAATAAATAAAAAAATGGATTTCGATTAAATTTTAACTTTCATAAATTAAAATTAAAAAAAAAACTTTAAAAAACAAAAACAAATAATTAAAAATCTCTCAAAATTAAAATTCCAAGAAAATCAACAAAACGCTATATAAATACACACTCAAATACTAGATTAAATAAACTATAATCACCCATTATCATCTTAAAAAGCCTTATTATTTTCCTATACATTTTATTTTTTACAAAAATTCTAATTCGACATACACATAGAGTCTATTTTCTAATTATTTGACTAATCTTTGTCTCTTGAAAGCAAAGAAGTAGTATACTAAATACACAAAGTCTTAATAAAAGTACTGATAAATATCTAAAAAGAAGACTAAGAATAACAAATAATATTTTTTTTGGAAGAAAGAATAAATAAAAAAGCAATTGAAGATGAATATATATAAAATTTTTTCAAAAAAATAAAAGAAAACGAAGAAAATTTCCAAATAGAAACGGAGCATTTTAACCTTCTTGAAAAGCTTGAAAAAACACTAATTTTTTATTTAAACTACATTTAATAGATAAAAGCATAGTCTTTTTTCTTAAAATAGTCTTTTATATAGATTACAAACCAAATTCTTTAAATTTACCTTTTTTCTGAAAAAAATACTCAATCATAATATACAATATAATATTTCGAAAATTTAAACTAAATTTTTTTAAGACTTTTTTAAAATAAATCACCCAAAAATATGATTTCTATTCTTTTTTTACCAAAAACGAATAAAATTTTAATTAGCCGAAAAACCAAATCGAAAAAACTCGCTTTTTTACACTTTTAATTACCCAAAATAAAGACTTTTTATAGTCAAAAAAAGTACAAAAAACACTCTTTTTTACACTACAAAATTCCAAAAATCTACAAATCTAAAAAGAAGCCATTTTTTTGCTCAAAAACCTACATAAATATGATTAAAATATAGAAAATTTTATTAATTTATTCACTATTTTAGACAATTTTGGTATTCATTTAATAAAAGACCTTCTCGAGGAAAAGCTTATGCATATATTGGCCTCTATGGATCAAAAATATGCTTAAATAATTATCACAAAAGCCTTATTTCATCCAAACTAGTCTGTTTAAAAGCACATAGTAAATTTCTTGCTTTAAACACGTCCATTATCTTTAGAAAAATATTCCAATATAATATTCGAATATATCCTTCCTGCCACTAATAACCCTATTTTCTACTAAGATGCTTCTTTGGATGCTTTTAGTTCTTTTCAGGAAGTACTTGAAGGCTATTTTGTGACTTAATTTTTAAATTTAGAGGAAAAAAAGGACCTATAAGGACAATATTTACGCATTTTTTTTGAAAAAATCGCTTCTATTTTAGATAATGTACATCCTATATGCTCATATATGCATGTGATTTCCTGTTTATTATTTAAAAGTGTATTTTTTGGTAAAAAAGAGCTTTTTTTATTAAAAGAATTCATTTAAAGAAACTTTTTTAAGTCAAATTTGGGAAAAAGGACAGTTTTTTCTTAAGGAATTTTCACTTTGTTTTTTTTCCATATAAATTTCGAAGATTTAACGTTTTCGGATATTTATGATTTTTTTCCATTTTTGCCTTCCTAAATTTTCGAATGGAAAAATCCTTTTTAATTCAATTGTGAAAAATACATTGAAAGAATACCAGAAAAAAGCGAGAAAATATCAGAAAAAAGTGGAAAGATAGAATATTTATCTGAAAAAAGTGAAAATATATAAAGTATATATGGAAAAGCTGAAAATGTATATGGAAAAGCTGAAAATATATATGAAAAAAGTTAAAATATATATGAAAATTAAGAGTTTATTAATGATTTTAAAAATTCTTTTGATTTTTCATAAAAGCTACTTTTTATATTATTATAAAATAAAAATTAATTTTTAAATATTTTCCAAAATTCTTTAAAATCTAAACTGAGATTATTCTATTCCAAAATATTATCACTTACTTATGATTTTAAATAAGAAAAATATTAACAAATTTTCCTACAAACCACCCAAAAATTCCTCCTTGATTTTCTCCAACATAATATAACCGAAATATACACAGACCAATAACTACCATACAAAAAATGCACCAAAAATATCCTTAAATTTACTGAAATTCTATTTTTTTTCTAAAAAACTTCTCTTTTTGTACACATATATACCCAAATACTCCCATATGTATCTGATATATCATCTTATTTCATATTAAGAGCCTCTTCAAGTCCCTAGACACCTGAATACGAAGAATTAATGCTAAAAATGTCTGAAATAGGTTAATTTTTATACATTTTTACCTATTATGGTACTCATCCTGATACTTTCGAACCTAATAATATATTAAGTAATTCAATAGAAAAAATCCTATAATATTTAATAGATTAAATAAAGTAAAAAAACACTTAAAAGCAAGGTATTTTTTATTTATTTTTATCCTAAATAAATGCCGCAAACATAAACATAATTTAAGAAAGTATTGAAAAAAATCGCTCTAGTATATTTATTCACTAAATAATATTCTAAGAAGGAGAATGTTTATTATAAAATCTAATTTCAGATGAAAAAATATTCCAAAAAACTCATAAAAACAAAGAAATTTACCTTTTTTTCGCATCTATATTACCCCTTTTGTATTTTTCATCAGAAAAAAAACCCGAAAATCTATTCGAATTCTTAAACTTAGAAAAAATATTATTTCTATTCAATATATTTGACCAAAATATGTATTTCTTCTTATTTTAAATGCTCAAATTTACCATTAATAAATTGCCTTTAAATCCAGACCTTTTCCTATAACTGTTTGAGTATATTTTGGAGTAAAATATATTACCAAAAGCACAAAATAATCCTCTAAAATTTAATGATATTTTCCCTTTTTATTCTTGGGCATTAGATCAGAATCTTTTTTTTCATGAAGAATATGTAAAATAAGGCTTTTTATAAAAAATAATAGATAAAAGTCTCATTTTGGCTAAAAAATATTGGATTATTTAAAGAATTTTAGTGTAGTTTTTATTTTAAGTTTTCTTTTAAAATCCGTCTATAATTTATTATTTCTAAAATTAAATTTTTAAATTAATTAAAATAAATGTATTTTAATATATAAATATATAAATATATATATATATATTTATATATATATATATATTTAAATTTTTATTTTTTTACAAAAAGGAATACAGAGGATATGATAGTAGTATTGTTTTAAATGAAATAGAAGATAAAATGAAATTTGTTAATGAAATAAAAATTAAAGTTGGCAAACAAATAGAATTTTTCGGAAATTTTTCAAGGTTTTTTACACTTAAATTTCTAGAGGAATTACTAAAAATGAAGAACGATGAAAAAATTCAATAATTTTTTATAAGTTTTACTTTTTTATTACTTTAATATAATTTCAAACCGAAATATATTAACAATACAAGAAATTCTTTATTAAAAATTTCGAAGAAAATACGTGTTTGGCAAACATTGTGTTTAATAAAACCTATTTTCGAAAAAGAAAACTAAATAGACTTTAAGATAATACAATAAATAAAAGAACAACTTTGGTAAATAATAAATTTTAATAATTAAATTTCAGTAAGATAATATATTGAAATATTTCTTCTTTATTTTTATTAATAATATCCAGAAATTTTTGAAAAGGATATAATTTAAAAATTAAATGATCCAAATAATAAATCATAAATATAAATACCATTAGTTTTTGTAAATAAATATAAATATATATAAATATAATTTACATATTTATATATTTATATATTATTTATATATTTATATTTTATATATTTAGTTTTTAATATTTTAACATAATTATATTTTTTATTTAATATTATTTATTTTATTTAAAATAATTATTATAAAATATTTTTATATTAAACCTATATATAATATTTTTTATATAATTATTTTTCTTTTTTTTAATTTCATATAATTTTTAAAGATTCTAGGTTATTAAATGTGCTAAAACTAATAAAAAAGCTTTAATATAGATATTTTTAATACTTTGTTTCCTTTTTTAGGATCTCATTAAGCATATTTACGTTCTATTTCTTAGTATTTTATATTTAAATACATTACAGAAAGTTATTATTTATTTAATTATATATAATATATAATTTTTTGTTTTAAACATAGATGATTTGCTTTTTAAATCTGAATAAGTTCTTATAAAAAGTTTATAAAATTTTAATAGATATAATAAAGAAGCAATAAAATTATAAAAAGTATTCGAAAAAACTATATAAAAATATAATTTATTAATCGAAAATTATAATACAGAAAATTTAATCAAAATGAACTTTGATAGTAATGGAGATATATTACATATATCTATAATTGATTAAATTAAAAAAATATGTGTAAAATAAATATAAGATATTAAATAAAATGAAGATATTCTTCCTAAACATGAAGATATATGGAAAATGTAAATTATTATATTAAATATACATAAGGATAAATAAATATATATATATATATATATATATATATATATATATATATATATATATATATATAAATATATATATATATATAAATTCAGAATTTCTTAAGATCTAATAGATTAAAATAAAAGCAAAGAAAAATTTAATTCAAATTTTCAAAGAAAAATCGATTAAATAGAAAATGAAAATAATATATTCGAAAAATAAAAAACTCTTATAAATTCACAAAAAGAAATTATAATAGTAGCTTCATTACTAGAGAAAGTTCCAAATATTGCACATTTGACGCGTACAGGTGAAGTTTTTGGTATATCTTAGTTAATAATTCCAAACAAATAAATAATATAAACCGAAGAATTTAAAAATGTTTCGGTAACAGCTGAAAAATGGCTTCCTTTAATGGAAATAAAAGAAGAAGATTTACTAAAATTCCTTTATTTTAAAAAGCATTAAGGTTTTATGCTTATTGGTCTAGAATAAACTTCTTAAAGTTAATTTATTTAAAATTTCTAATTTCCGAATAAATGCATATTATTACTCGGAAAAGAAAAAACGGGAATTCCACCTGAATACATAGAAGTATTTTATTAAATGATTTTTTTTTAAACAAAAAAATAATATTTTTATACTTTTTTTTTTTTAGATCCTAGATATGTGTATTGAAATCCCTTAATTTGGATAAATTAGGTCTTTAAATGTACATATTAGTGCTGTTATATGTATATGGGAATTCGTTAAATAATAAATTTAATAATAATAAAATATTTAATAATGAATTATAATTTAATTTATATTTAAAAAAATAAATAATTCTTTTTTATAGTCAATTTTTCTAATTTAATCATTATACTATATTTCTTTGCCTTCAAATTTTTATTTTTTTTGCTTAGAATTTTTTTAAAAATTAAATTATAACTTAAATAAAGATTTAGTGTGCGTATGCTTTTCCAAAAATTCCTCAAATTTAATCACTATATTATATATGACGAAGATTTTTTTCTTATAATAAAAATTGAAAAAAAATGAGTCGATTTTTTCATTAAAATCTAATTATATTTTTGTTAATTTTTATTATATTATTTTTCTATTTATTTATTTTTTAAACACAAAAATATGCCTATTAATAAATTTTTATTTTTTAAACACGTAAATATTAATTTAATCAAATAAAAGATATATTAGAAAAAAAAAAAAAAAAACATAGACATTAATTAATAATTTAAACTTCAAAAAATAAAAAAAATAAAAATTGAAAAATGGTATTTTATATATAAAAAATTATCATAAAATAAATAATAAAATACATAAAATAAAAAAGCCTTTGAAATTCGAAATAAAGAAAAAAATGATTAGCCGATCCGAAAGGGTAAAATGTATAGAATTACATACAGAACTCCCTTGGGTAATGGTATCTTTATATTCCGGAAACATAACCATATATGATTATTCAACCTAAGTATTAAATAAACACTAAAAAATATAAACAAAAAAAAAATTATATAGACAATAGCAAAAACATTTGAGAATTCCCCAAATCCAGTTCGAGCCTCTAAATTTGTTACTCGTAAATAATGGATAGTAGCAGGTTCAGATGATTTATAAATAAGAGTATATAATTATAATACAATGGAAAAAATTAAATAATGGGAAGCACATTCAGACTATATTAGATATATATTAATTCATCCTTCAGAGCCTTATATTTTAAGTAGTTCAGATGACGCAAACATTAAAATGTGGGATTTCGAAAAGAATTTTACACTAGTAAGATCTTTTGAAGGACATATACATTATGTAATGATGCTTATTTTTAATCCAAGAGATTCCAATATATTTGCATCAGCATCTATAGATAAAACAATAAAAGTTAATTTTTTTTATTATAATATATTTTATATATATTTATTTTATATTAAAGATATGGAATATTAGTAATAATAAACCGAATTTTTCGCTTGTTGGACATGAGTAAGGAGTAAATTGTTTAGATTATCATAGAGGAGAACATAATTATTTGATTTCTGGAGGAGATGATAGGTAAATACAATGATTATTTAATTATAAAAGATGATTTTTTTTTTTTTTTAAAAAAAAAAGACTTGTAAAAATATGGGATTGTTCAACAAAATAATGTATTCATACTTTAGAAGGTCATACATAAAATGTTACTTGTGTACTTTTCCATCCAGAATTGCCGATAATAATAACTGGAGGGGAAGATGGTTTTGCGAAAATATGGCATTCTTAAACTTTTAAATTGGAAACTTCTTTAAATTATAACTTAGATAGAGTTTGGTCTTTAGATGTTTGCAAAGATTCATCAAATGTAATTGCAATTGGATGTGATGAAGGTTCTGTAATAGTAAAAATAGGTTCAGATGAACCTGTAGTTTCTTTAAAGTTATTAATATTTTTTATTTCATATAGAAAAAAAAAAATATAAAAAAGTAATGGAAAAATTATATATGCAAAAAATTTAGAAGTGTTTACATCAAATTTAAAAGCAATAAATACTACTGAGGATAATATTAAAGAAGGTGAAAATATTCCAGGAATAAATGTTAAAGATTTAGGAGCTGCTGATTTTTATCCAACTGTAAAATATAATATATATATATATATATATATATATATATATATATATATATATATTCATATTTATATATATTTATTATTCTTTACATTATATATATTGTTATTAGTTTTATTAGTTTCTTTTTTTTTTATAATTTAATTTCAAAATTACAATAGTCAAATTATATATATAAGAAAACAAGAATTATAACTTTTTTTTAATTTTATATTTTTTATACAAAAAAATATAATAAATAATCATAAAAATCATTACCATAAAGTAATATATTTTAATTTTTATTTGAAAAAAGGGTTTAAGACATGCTCCAAACGGACACTCCTTTGCACTTTTTAATGATTCTGAATATTGTATTTATCGTTCAACTAATTTTAAAAGCATTAGTATTCATTTTTTTTTATAAATATAAGAATTAGAAAAAATTTATAAATAAAAATAAAGTTCATGGATAAGGAACTGATCTTGCTTGGGCAAATAATGGAGATTATGCAGTTAAAGATAATTTTATAATAAGAATTTATAAAGGAAATAATGAATTATAATATGAATTAAAAACTGATTATATGGTCGAAAATATATTTGGAGGAACTCTATTGTAAAATATTAAATTAAATACAAATAATAAATATATAAATATAGATGTGCTAAAAGTAACGAATTCTTAATTTTTTATGATTGGGAAACTGGAAAAATAATAAGAAGATTAGACTCTTCAGTGAATAAGATATATTGGAATATAACAAATAACTTAATTTCAATAGCAACATCTGAAGCCTTTTACGTTCTCGAATATAAGTAAGAACTCGTAAAAGAACTTATGGAAAGAGAAGGGGAAAACGCCGAAGGATACGAAGAAGCATTTGAACTTCAATATGAAATAAACGAAAACATAAACTCAGGATTATGGGTAGAATAAATGTTCTTTTTTACAAATTAAACCGGCAAAATTAGTTACTCATTAATGGGAAGAGTGTTCACATTTGCATATACTGAAAAGAAAAAGTTATTTTTAGTATAATATATATATATATATATATTTAAATTTATATATATATATGTAATATAGGATTATTTTAGGATATGTAAATTTCTAAAACCGTATTTATTTTTTCGATAAATTTTTCAATGTTTCTTCTTTCGAAATACCAATATAAGTCGCATAATTCTAATGTTTAATCGCAAAAGAAGAAATTGAACGAGCATAAAATCTACTTGAAAATATCGAAAAGAAATACTATGATAAACTAGCAAAATTCTTAGATACAATAGATAAAAAAGAACTTGCTTTTTAAATAGCTATAGATATTGACCATAAATTTGATTTGGCTTTATAATTAGGAAATATAAATGAAGCTAACAATATAGCATAATAAACTAAAAATATTAATTAATAAAAATAAGTAAAAACCTATAAAAATTATAAAATCATAAGTATAAAATTAATAATAGGTCGGTGATCTAGCACTATAAAAAGGAAATATAAATCTAGCAATAGAATGTTTTAAAAATTCAGATGATTTAGGAAGTCTACTTTTAATTTACTCATCTTTAGGTTTAAAAGAAGAACTTATAGAAATAGCCTAAAAGGCAGTTGAATAAACTAAAATGGTAAAATTATTTGAAAAAAATAAATAAAAAAATAAAATTTTTTGATATTTATATACATATATATATATATATATATTATATATATATATATATATATATATATTATTATAAATGTACATTTATATATATAGAATATTGCTTTCTAAATATATTTCTATATTTCTGATTTAGATAATTGTATAGACATTCTAATAAAAACAAATAGATATAGTGAAGCCGCTTTATTCGCGAAAACATATTGCCCTTCAAAAATTAGTTAAATTGTTTTATAATGGAAAGAAGATTTACAAAAAAACCATCATTTGGTTATTGCTTAAAAAATAGCAGATCCAATGGACTTTTTAGATGATGAATCATTTTCAGATTTAAAAATTTTACTTTAATTGGAAGAATTTTATATAACATAAAGGTAAAATAATTCTGATTTACCTAGTTATGTTTATGAAGATTATGAAAAATTGCTTAATGCCGATTTATTTATGGCGCTTAAAAAAGACCCTTCTAGAAATCTTAGTTGTGTTTCTTTAAAACCTAAAGATATTCCAAATGAAAATCCTTTATATTTATAACAATAATGAATGTTTTTTTAAAAATATTTTTATTTTATTTTTTTGTAATTTTTAAAATTTTTATTTTTTATTTTTATAATTTTTTAAAAAAAAATATATAATAATATTTAAAAAAAATAAAAAAATAATTAACTCTATATGAATATATAAATATATGTATATATATATATATGTATATATATATATATTTATATATTTATATATTTATTTAATTTTATATTTTTTTTATATAAAACTCAATAAAACAACAAAACTATATTTAATTTATAAAAAGATAAAACATGGAAAAGCTTATACCTTTAATAAACGAAATACAAGTAAATAAAAAAATAAAAATATTAAAAAATAAAATAAAAAAGGAAGTAATAGGTAGAACCTAATTAAGAAATGAATTGAAACTTCCCCAAATAGTAGTATTAGGTTCCCAATCAACAGGTAAAAGTTCATTATTAGAAAGCATAATTGGACAAGAAATACTTCCTAGAGGAAAAGGTATAGTAACACGTCGACCAATAGAAATATATTTAAAAAACAACCCACAATGTGAACAACATTACGTCGAATTTTTCGAAAAAAAAGACGAAAAAATATACGATATGAATCTAGTTCGTCAAATAATAGAAGAAGATACTGAAAAGTAGCAGGAAAAAATAAATCAATATCAAATATTCCTTTAAGACTTAAATTTTATTCCAAATATGTCTTAGATTTATTATTAGTAGATCTACCAGGACTAACAAAAGTACTATTTTTTTTTTAACAAAAAAAAAAAAAAAAAAAAAAAAAAAAAATACAGAATCCAGTAGGCGATTAACCTTAAGATATAGAAGCCCAAGTATATAGTGTAATAGAACCTTATATAAAGAATCCATATAGTATATTAATGGCCATATAAAAAGGAAGCGACGACCTTGCGAATTCGGAAAGTTTAAAGCTTTCAAGAAAAATAGATCCTTAAGGTAATCGTACAATAGGAGTTATTACATAATTAGATTTATTAGATGAATGTAATGATATATTGAATGATTTACAAAATAAAACATACCCATTAAAACTAGGTATATATATAATATTTTTGTGTGTTTTAAGTAAAAAAAAAAAAAAAAAAAAAAAGGTTATGTTGGTGTAGTTATGAGAGGTAATAAAGATTTAAAAACTAGAACAATAAAAGAATAGTTGTAAGAAGAAAAAGCTTTTTTTGACAAACATCCTATATATAAAAGATTTTTTAATGAAATGGGAGTTCCTTATTTAGTTAAGTTGTTAAATTTTTCCCTTATGAATCATATTAAGAAATATTTACCGACTTTAAGGGAAAATATTATCACTATTTTATGTAAACATGAACAAGAACTTAAATAATATGGAGATTTTGAACAATTTGAAAGCAAATAAGCCCGAGAACTTTATTTATTAAAAATTTTTTCTTAATATACAAAATCATTTAGTTCTATATTATGTTATTTAATTTTTTATTTTATTTTATTTTTATTTTTATTTTTTTTAAAAAAAATATATGTATATTTATATTATAATTAACAAAAAAAGAGGATTCTTATATACAACCAAATACGTATGAATTATAAGGAGGATCAAGAATATAATATATATTCAATAATATATTTAGAAAATCAATATCAGAAATAAACCCCTTCGATATATTAAATGATTAAGACATTCGTACTGCCATTAGAAATGCAAACGGAGTTCGTTAGTCTTTATTTATTGCAGAAGGAGCTTTTGATAATCTTGTAAGATAATAAATTTCTAGACTTCTTAGCCCTTCTTTATAATGCAGTAATTTAATATATGAGGAACTTAGGAGAATTTTAAACCATATAAATATTCCAGAAATGAGTAGATTTAATAATTTAAATAATAGAATTTTCGGAATTATGGAAGCTGTACTCTAAAAATGCCTTTAACCAACAAATTAAATGATAAAAAGCTTTATAGAAATAGAATTAGGCTATATAAATACAAATCATCCTGATTTTGTATGTGCTATCGAAATGTTTTAAAACAAATAAAATGAAGTTGCGGTTGATATAAAAAATATATAATAAAATGATAATAATAATCAGGATTAATCAGATTCCAATGTTTCGGTAATTTCAGAATAAAAATATAACATAAATAATAGAAATAGTGATAATTTAGAGGAAAAATAATAATAATAATAATAATAATAATAATAATAATAATAATAATAATTATAATAATAATAAATAAATAATGAAAATGATAATAGATTTTGGGGATGGCTTCCTTTTACTTCTAAATTAAATAAATAAACGTAACTTTTGGACAATAAATTAAAGAAAATGAACTTTACATAAATTTAAAATAATGGAGAAGTAAAAACATTATTTTTTTATAATAAAAAAAAAAAGTATATAAAAGATGATTAAAGCAAACCAGAAACATCAAAAATATTTAACAATATATAATAAAAATAAGAAAAAATTATTTATTCGTTTAACAATAGGTTTTCTCTTAATTCATTATTAGATAATACTAAACTAACTTAAAATTCATTACCTTTTGTATATTTATTTATATTTTTTATTTCTTTAATTATATACTAAATTTTTTATTTTATATTGCTATATTTTATAAATAAATATTTTTATTTATATTTATTTTCTTTTAATATTTTTTTATTAAAACTATAGGTCCCTAATCGTATAAAATTAAGTAGAAAACCAAATAGAAAAGAAATAAATGAGTTTGAAATGGTTAAAAATTTAATTGTATCTTACTTTAATATTATAAAGAAAAACATAAATGATGTTGTACCTAAAACAATTATTTCTTTTTTAGTTAATAGAGTAAGAAAAATTATTTCTAAATATATTTTTTTTAAAAATAAATAAAAAAGTCTATAAATATAGCAGAAAGGGAATTAATTACTTATTTATATAAAGATGAATTATTTGAAGAGTTATTATAGGAAAACTCTTACATAGTTAAACATCGAGAATATTCAAAATAATAAATAATTATATTAAAATCTTGCTTAAATGTTTTAAATGATTTGGATTGTAAGTTTTGAAAGATGTTTATTAATTAGAAATAAAAAAATATAAATTATATAAATATATTTTATAATAAAAAAAAAAAAAAAAGTTTTGTATTATTTTAATATTTATTTTTTATATTATATTGAATATGTTTTAATTTCAAAAATATATATATTTTTATTTTTAAATATTTCAAATAATACATCAATACTTTTATTAATATATAAGTTTATTTTACTTGAAATTTAATAAATTTATAATTAACTTTTTTAAAAATAAATTTATGTAATTTAAATAATAAAATATTTGAATAAATTTATTATCAATTTATTTATATACAATATATATATATATATAAATATATATATATATATATATATATATATATATATATATATATACATATATATATATATATTATTAATTAATCAATATATTTTTTAAATAATTCAGAATTACCTATTTATTATTTTAATTATTTTTTTTTTATTAATTTTATTAACTAAAATTTAAATTGTTTAAATAGCTATAATCTTAAATTATTTTATTATTCTTAATACTAACAGACTTAACAATATAAATTTTTAAAAGACAAGTTTAGCAATTTATAATAATCCTATAAAGTAAATTTAATCCAAAAAAAGTAAATAAATAATACCAAAAATAATTAAATATAAAAGGCAACTTTTCATCTTTATAAATAGCTAAGCATTCTTACATATTTTCAAAATGTTTATTTTCCAATTTAAGTATATATTTATATTCTTAATATAAATCTTTAGATTTCATTTCTTTTTATAAACATTCAATAGTTTATTCCCAAAAAAATTCAGATTATCTATCTTTAAATGTGAAATCTAAATAACTGTTTATTCGAAATATCTTAGCTTTTTTAAAGTTTTAAGAAAAGTTTTCAGAAATATCAACACATGAGTATATTGGCATTTATATTTCTTTTATAAAAGATTCTTTTCTAAGTTTACCTTTTAGTTTTTTTTATTTTGTATGATGATAAGCTACACCTTTATAACTTATTTATATTTACTATGTTTTAAATTTTTTATATTTTTCTAATAAATCAGTTAAAGATTATTAATGTTTTAAAAATTAATTTATTTCACATATTAAAAGAGAATCTACAAAATATATAATAATAAAAATTATTCCAAAAATTAATTAATATTTTAAAACTTTTTTAGTATATTTTTCTTAAAAAAAATTAATAAAAAATATAATTGATAATCCAATTAAACATATTATTTGTAATTAAGGGGAATTTTTACTAAAAGAATTATTCCATTATGGTTTATAAAATTTATTTTTTAAAGGCTTTCTTAAAACATATAATTAATTTTAATATAATAATTATTATTATTATTATTATTATTATTATTATTATTATTATTATTATTATTATTTTTAATATATTTTATATCTTATTTATTTTTATTTAATTATTTTTCATTTTATTTTTATTTGATAATATTTTTTTATTTTTATATTTTATTTAATTATATTATTAATTTTTTTATTATTTTTTTTATTATATTCTGTATATATAATATATACTTTAAAATAATTAATATTTAAATATATTATTTAATTATTAGTTTTTATTTTATATTAATATATCTTTTTATATTTTTAATAAAATTAATATTTAATATTTTATTTTTTATATGTTATTTTTTTTATAATTAATTATATTTATTATTTAAATTAACTTTATTTATCTATTAATTTTTTTTTTCTAATTTATAAGTTTATAATATTATATTTTTCTGCTATAAATTTTTACAACATTAAACCTGCTTTCTAAAATTTTAATATATTTTTTTTTATTTTAGCTATTTATTATATATTTATTTTAATATTTAATTAAAGATTTTTTTTTTATTATATATTTAATATTAATAAAATATATAATCTTATAAAAATAAAAATTATTTAATTTAATTTTAATCTGAAATTACAAAATAAAAATAATCAAAATTTAGATATAAATATACCTCAATATTTTTATTTATAAAAAATACTTATTTTATTTTTTATTTAAATAAATAATCTTAAAATTTTTAAATTCTTAATTTTATTTCTTTTTAAACTATTATATTTTTTATAATATATTTAATTAAATATTCAAAATTTAGTATATTTTCTAAAAATAATTATAAACCAATTTATATGTTTTATTATTTAAGTATTTAAAATATATTTTTTAATTTTTTTGAAATTATTTTTTTTTATTTAATTTTATCTAAAAATTATTATTAATGATAAGATATTTTATTTTTTAATTAATTTCTATAATAAATATTAAAATTAATTTTCTTTTGCAAATATATTATATTAAAATAAATTATAATAAAATATTAAATATATAAATAATATAATTAGTTAGTTAAATATTTTAAGGAATTATTATAAACATATTTTTGTAATTTTGCTTAATTAACTTTTTTTAATGATTACATTAATTTTTGGAAAAAAGAGGTAATTACAAAACTTTTTTATTTTATTTTTTTAATAATTAATATATTTTTTCTTTATAAAATTTTAAATTAATATACTTTATTTTATTAATAATATAAGTAAGCAAGAACCTATTAAAATCACAATATAAAATTGTAAAATATCAGTTTAAAATTATAAAAAAATGCATATAAAAATTATAATTATAGTATAAGACTAGATAATTTATTCGCAATAAAAATATTTTAAATAAGATAAATAAAGCAAAAGTAAATCTAATGACTAAAACTCTATGAAAGATAGATGAGATGAAAATAGCGATAATAAATACGAAAAAATATACGTATTACAAACAAATTATGACATAATAACTAAATAATGAGAAAATACCTAAAAATAGAGCAGTTTAATTTTATTTATATGTAAATCATTACTAATATAGTAATTAAATAATAATATCATATGATAGTATTCATCAGACAATAAGTCTTGCGTTTGTGAATTTTAATATTTGGTACTCCCTTTAGATGAGAAAAAATATAAATAATATGTATTTAGCTGGTACATATAAATGTATATTTCAATGCATTTATTAGAATAATATAAAACAATAACCAGGTTAAAAATTGTGTATGTCAATATAAAATAAAATTAAATAATTACAATTATTAATAATAAATATAAATACTACTTGTATTATTATAAATCATAAAAAATTTAATAAAAATTAAATTTTATTTTAAAATTAAAAAAAATTTATAAATTTATAAATAATATTGTAATTAACGATAAAAAAATGAATTTATTAAAAAAATTGTATAAAAAAAATAAAAAAATTAGCAAATAATTAAAAAAATTATACTTTAGGAATCTGTAAATAAATTAAGAATAAAATTATTAAAAATTAAAAATTTGTAAAATGTTTCATATATAAAAAAAAGATGTAAAAATAAATATATATATATATATTTATATATATATATTATATATATATATATATATATAACATATATATAATTTAATTTTTTTCTTTAATATTAACTATAAATTTATACTTTAAATCTTTTATATATTATTTATTAAAAATGAAGGTTTACTAAAAATTTTCACACTATTTAAAAATTACTAATTTATAAAATATTAAAATATGATATATTTATTATAATAAAATATATAATGTATTTTTAATATATATTTAGCAATTAAATAATTATATTTTTTTAATTTTTAATCGATATTTATAATATATCAATAAAATCTAGAATATTTTTTTGTTTATTCATATAATTTTATTTTTACCTAATTATAAATTTATTAAACAATAATAATACTTAAATGCAATATATACAAAATCACTAATGTAATATTAATTAAAAAAAATATCAAATAAAAAAAACTTATAAAAGAATAAAAATAAAAATGATATTAGATAATCCTCAATATGAAGATCTTAAAATAATGAATTCATATTTATTAGCTACAGATAAAAATCTCGATTCATAATTTTTACTAGACGAAAAACTTCCTAATAATTAAAATGTTAGTAAATTAAGCTTTATTACTTATAATGTATGGTTTGATAAATAAAATTTTGTTTTAAGAAACAATAAGCTATTTGAAATATTTACTTAATTTGAACCTGATTTCATATGTATATAAGAAGCGACTTAAAAATTTATAGATTTAATAAGAAAAAATAGAGAAATTTGTGATAAATATTATTTTTCACAAAATATAATTGATTATTATGACGTTTTAATTTTATCAAAATATAAATGCAATTTTTATTCTCGATAATTTCCTTCAAATATGAACCGAAAAATAGTAATAAGTGAATTTGCTGTAAATTCACAAATTTTCGCTGTAGGAAATACTCATCTTGAAAGTTTGGATCATAATGCAGAATATAGAAAATGTTAAATGAATATAAGCTATAATTAACTAAATAAATATCAACATAATATTTTAATGGGAGATCTTAATTTTGATTCATAAAAAGAAAATTAAAATATAATTGATAGCTATATTGATACATGGTAATTTCTTAAATATAATGAAAAAGGCTACACTATGCCATAAACTGATTTTTTTCCAGCCTGGAGGCCTGATAGAATTCTGTTAAATAAATGCGAAGATTGGATCCCTAGTCATATTTAAATTATTGGTAAAGAACCGTTGCCTTAGTTTTTAAATTAAGATTATAATAATGAAAATTAAAATTTAATTAGAACTCCATCTGACCATTATGGATTATATTGTGAAATATCATTAAAATAGAAACATTCGTTATAAAAATGATTTAATATATATACGTATATATAATATTAAATAAATAAAAAAATTAATTTAAAAATATATTTTAATAATATGTTGTGTTAATTAACAATAAATAAAAAAATTATTATTATTAAATATTAATTTATTTAATATATTAAAATAAAAAAAAAATATATTATTTTAATTAATTACTTTAATAACAATTTATTAATATAAATAATTTTTATTAATATTTAAATAAAGATTTAATTAATTAATTAATTAATTATATATATAATATATATATATATATTTATATATATATATATATATATAATTTTTTTTCATTATTTTATTTAATTAAAGTATTTATATAATCATTTTTATAAGAAAGAAATAAAAATTATTATATATTAATATTTAATATATTATTTTTATAATATTTTTTACTTATATAATATTTTATTTTATTTTAAATAAAAAAAAAATCATTATATTTTTTATAAATAATATATTTTCAATGTTAATATTTCTACAATAGATTTTTATATTCACATAGATTTTATATATTTTCTATAAATTATTCATCATTTACTAATTATGGTTATAAATATTTAGATTAGATTAAATAATCTACTAAATTATTTAATTTTTTACGAGTTGATTTAATTTCTAAAATTTAATTATTTTAAATATTAAAAAGATAGTATTTATAATCTGATAGTTTTGTTACTTCTTTTGATTTAAGCTTTTTTAACTCTTCTTTAAAATAATGAGTTTCTTATTTTTACAGAAATTTTAAAGGAAGAATTTTAGTTTTTTCTTCAATTTTTACTTTAGCTTTTTTATTTTTAATAATTTTGAGAAATTAGCATTATTATATTTTTCCTTTTTTTGACAAATAAGATATTATCTTAAGATTCGAATTTTAATTATTTCAAAGCTTTAATTTTTTTTTTCAATTCAGCAATCTCGATTTCAATTTTACAATAATTTTGCATAAAAAGATACATATACAATCCTAACTAAATAATATTTTCGTCTTTAAATTAATTAACAAATTTAAATTCCCATATATTTTACTTATCAATACAATCTATAGAACCCATAAGTTATTTACAAATACCATCTTTTCTAATTAATGTAAAAAGTTGTTTCTCAAAAATAGCTTCTTAGCTTATTTAAGCCTAAAATCTTTCTAAGGAATCATCTAGATTTTATTAACTTAGCCAAGAATAATCTTATATTTATCGAACTTTGAAAATTAATTTAGAATTTATAGAATTTAAAATATTAGATAAAAATAATAGTTCTTCAGTATCAATATCCGGAAGTTTATCCAAAATATCTTCGAATTGAGAAATATATGGTTAATAAATTTCTTATTAAATCTCATCTTTAAGTAAATATATAATACTTGAATGATTTTTAGATTTTAATTCAAAATATAAAGGAATTGCTAAACCATTTATTTCACTAATAGATTCTTAAATACTAATCATATTTCCGTCTTCTTAAGACATATTTTGTTAAGTTTTAAAAGGGATATTTATCTATTTTTCAGGTTTTTAAATCTATTCAATAAATAAATAATTTTTTATTGCGTTTTAAAGGACATCACAATTAAGAAACTTAATAAAATCAGTAACAGAAACTATTTATGTCAACTTGTCTATACAGCTTTAATTATTATTTTTATTTACTTAAATATTAGGAAATTCCTTAATAACTTCACAGTATTTATTTAGATTTTCTTATTTCAAAAAAGGCAAATAATCATATTTATTATCATGAATTACAGTCAATCTTTCTAAAGCTCTAGTTAATGCGACATATATTTCATTAGTACAAATATCTGGTGTAGAATAATTCTTTTTATAAGCATTTACATAAAAAGTGTCAAAATTATAAACAATTACAACTTTTCTTTCTAGTCCTTTGACTTAATGAAATGTTGAAAAAACGATTTTATTCTTGGTCGTTTCTTCATCTATTTTATGCTCATCTGAAAGAGGTATAAATACAGGAATAGACTTTTCTGATAAATAATTAGCCAAAATTCTAATGGGAGATTTTATATTTTTAATAGAAGGAGCAAGTATAAAAATATCTTCTACTTTATATCCTTATTTTAAATAAAATATAACTTCTTTAAAAGCAAATAAACCATAAGAATTTCCAATAAAATAGCGAGGCTTACTTCCTTATTTAAATGACTTTATATATTCCCAGTCTAATAGACAACCATTTATAAAACTTGCAATTTAATGGGGAACTCTAAAACTTTAAGAGATTTTTAATTTTTTCCAAGGAAAAATAGTAAAATTTTCATATATTATATTTGCATATTTGATAAATCTACTATCAGAGCCCATAAATGAATAAATTGATTATTTTTAATCGCCAAAAACACATATTTAAATACTTTTTTAATAAATAGAATTGTTATCATTAAGAATTTTTAAAAAAAGTTTATAATATAACTTAGACATATCTTATGCTTCATCTATTATAAATAAATCGTAATTAATTTTTTTTTAAGACGCAACTATGTTAGGGAGAAGAATTTATTTAAGTCCATTATCATCAATACATATTTCGCTATAAAAATTATATGCAAAAGAATGGTAGGTATGCACTTCTATATTTTTTAGGTTTTACTCAATAACTTTTTCTATTGTTTTTTATCTTAAGCGTCTATTATATGTTAACAGAAGAATTTATTTATTTTTAAAACTTTTACTTATTTCAAGGCTAGTAGTTGTTTTTCCACTACCTGCTACTGAATCAACTATTAAATTAAATTTTTACAAAGAATTAATAATAGCTTTTTGTTCTTAAGAAATTTTAAAGTTAGAAGAGTTTTATTTTTCAGTAATATTTTCGATTTACATTTTTATAAAAAAAACTTGTTTTACTTAAATATGAGAATAATTTATATTTCAAATAAATTTAATTGCTAATTTTATCAAATATAAAATATTACTAATAAAATAAAATGTATATTAAGCATTTCTTTAATTAAAAATTAACAGCTCAAATTGCTTAATATTTATAATATTTTTTTATACGCTTAATTATAATTATAATTTAATATGTTATATTATTATAAATGCTATATAATAATATTTTTTAATAATTATTTTGTAAAAATTTTAACAAAAATTTATTATTTTTTTTTTTTTTAGAAAAAATAAACATCACTAGAAATTATAAAAAATATATCTATCTTTATAATATTAATAATATTTTTCATTCTTAATTAATTTCACTAAGTAATTATAAATAAGTATAATTAGATATTAATTTATCTTATGGAATCGGTTCCTCATCATGTTTCCATTCATATATATTATTACATCTATCAGTTTCGAAAAATTTAATGTTTTCTTGGTTCTTAATACTTCTTGTAAATATATGACCTTGAATTATATCATTTTAATTTAAAGGAATTTTATATCCTTTAACTTCTCTTCCATATAAACTTGTTTTAAAATGTAAAAAGTCTTCTTTAAGTTAATATTTTGCTTCACGAATTGTTGATTCGAAATATTTATCTACTTATGCTTCGCAATTTAATTCAATTTTAAAAGGCAATAAATGAACGTTATTTAAATTTTTTACTTAATTTAAATTATTTTCAACTTTGGGTATAAATTAATACATATTTATTTTTTTGTAGACAAAATATATTTTATAATATAAAATTAATATTAATATATATATGCATATATATATGTAAATAAATATCTATATTATATATAAATATATAATATATATATATAGATATATATATATATATATATATTTATTTTTCGTTTTTTTTATATATATTTTTTTTTATTTTTAATATAAAATATTCGCGCGCGTTGTAAATTCGTTATTTTTTTTAAAATAAATCAATTTTATATCTAGTATTACAAAAATTACATAATCTATTTATTATTTAATTATAAAATAATATAATATATTAAAATTTTTATAATTTATATAATTATCTTAATGTGAATTTTATTTTATTTATAAATTTTGGTTTATTTTTTTTTAAATAAAAAAAGATTAAAAGATTTACCTGAATTTTATTATTTCTTAATATTATTAAATATAAATTTTAATAATTGAAATATTTATAATCTCAATTTAATTCCATTTAATTTAGCTTTTTATTCTAATTTTCCTATCAATTCTTAAAAATCTTATATTTTCATATATCCTTTTAATTTTAATTTCATTATTTAAAAAGTTATTTTTAATATAATATAATCTATTAAACAAATTTTTTGATTTATTCGGTATTTTAAATGGGATTATAATTTATTTTTTTAAGTATAGTAATTTATTTATTTATTTTTAAGCAACTATTTTTTTTTTTATTATTAATCTTTGTTTTAAAGCAACCTAATTCTTTGTAATTACCATTATTTATTTAAATTTGAAAATTATTCGACTCTAACCTTAATTAAAATTCTTAAAAAATTTATTTTTAATATCTTTGTTTTGATTGAATTTATTAAATATATATTTTATTTTTAGCCTATTAGGACTAGCACTTATTCTTTTTAAATTAAATTATTAAATTCATATATATTAAGTAAAAAGTTTTTAGACAAATTGAATGTTTAAAAATGCTCAACAAATTTAGTTTAACTATTAGAAATTTTAAATTTTTAATTATTTATTATATAAAATTCCTTATTTTTAATTAATAATTTTTTTTTATATAATTTTCTAAATAATTCGTATTTATATGTTTCATGCCATTTAATTCTATTTTATATTTGTAAAATTGCAAACATTTATTTATCAAATATACTTTGTATTAATTTAAACTAGTTTTTTATATCTCCTATTTAGTTTTTATATATCGTAAAATACTATTTCAATACTGTAAATATAATTTTTTAAAGTATATTTTGTTACATTAAAATTAATGGACTCCTATGCAAACGAGTATCACTAAACTACTTAACATTTAGCGTCTAAATTATTAAGAGTCCTCGCAAAACCAAAATCATCTAATTATAAAATATTTCCAGTCTATTTATTATATATTTTTATTTAAGTTTTAATATTAAATAATTTTAAATTAATATATTTTCTTGTTTTAGTTCTATATGAATTACATAATTTTATAACAATACCCCAAAAAGCTTTAAATATTTTAAGGCAAGACTATTTTTGCATATTTTGATCTATTAATTTTATTTTATTTAATAAATTTTTAAAATCATCTTATCTAAAAAATTCTTGTATTATATAATATGTTTATTTTTTCTAGTATATTAATTAATTTAACAATATATTAAAATTATGATTTTTTCATAATTTAGATTTCTTATAAAAGTTTGTTTTATAAATATTCATAATTTTTAATTTATTTCTTATATATCATTTTTATAGCTATTAATTCGTTTTTTCTAATATATTTTTCCCTGATAAACTTTGGCATATGAACCTTAACCAATTTAGTTTTTTAAATAAAAATGATATCTATCTATATTTTTAATCATGGTGAACCATTCATTTTATTTATTGATTATTTATAAAATACTAAAAAAATATATTTAATAATATATTAGTAATTTTTAAGTATAAATATAATAGATTTTTAAGAATTATTTTATATTAATACTTCTTATTAAAATATATTAATATAAATGGAAAAAATATTTTTAAATAACTAAAAATATATGAATAATATAATTAAAAATAATTTAGAAAATAAACTTAAAATATTAAAAATCTAACATTTATATAATATATATTATTAGAAAATATATATTTTTACTTTTTATATTTTTTTTTTTAAATAAAATTATTAAATCTTCTTAATTTATCACTTATTACTAATAAGTTTATTATAAAAATATATGTAAAATTGTTAAAAAATATTACTTTTCTTCTTCTTATAATTAAGGCTAATTTTATTACTCTTTTTATTCAATTTAAACAATATTACTAACATTAATAGTATTATTAGTAGTATTATCATTATTATTGCTAACATTATTACCATTTTTGACATTATCGCCATTATTTTTTATTTTATTTTTATCCTCGTATATTTATTTATCATTTTTATCCTTTCTTTATTTTTAAGATTTTTAAATACTTTTTTAAGAAACATTTGATGACTCAGATCTTGATCGTGATCGATAAGATGAAGAAGATGAAGATGATGAAGAAGATGAAGAAGACGAACGACTATCTTAACTATCAGAGCTACTTCTAGAATATGATCTATATTAAAAAATTTATAATAAATATATTATAAGATAATATATATAAATATAAAATATATATATATTATATATATATATATATATATATTTATTTATATATATATACCTTCTATTTCTTCTATTTTTTTCATTTCTTCTATATTTGATTTAAATAAATATTATTTATAAAGATATTTATTTATATATATTTACCTTCTATATTTTGATTCAGATCTACTAATTGAATCTCTTCTGTATCTTTAATTTATTAATAATTTTCTAAACATAAAATAATTATTACCTTCTTCTTTCATCACATTCATTAGCCCTTGTAAAACATAAAAAATATCTTATTTTAATTATTAAAAAAATAAAATAATAGTATAAATTTAAAAATAAACATATATCAAATATAATTATTTTCTTATTTACCAATGACCTCTTCTTCCACACTTAAAACATTTATCATCTAATTATGGACCTCTTGGTCTGATTTTTTTCAATCCTGCAGGTTCAACTAGAATTTATTTTCCGTTAATTACAGCCTTATTTATTTATTTATTTATATATATATTTTTTTTTATTACATATATATATATAATATTTTAAATTAACTTTATCCATTTTTCTTATAGCATCTTCTGCACTATGGTAATCATCATAAGTCTTTTTTTATATTATGGATTTTTTTTTTATTAATATTATAATAGATATTATAATTTTTTATATATACTATAAATGCATAAGATCTTTTCATATTTATATCTACAATACTACCATATTTTTTAAATTCATATTATAAATCTTCTTCGTTCGTTCTACTGGAAAAATTGGTTACGTATATTTATGGATTTCTACGAGACATATTTAATTTATTGTAATTTTTTATATTTTAATTTTAAATTAATATTTTTATATTTATATTTGTTTTATAAGGATTTTTTTTTGTATATTTTCAAATATTTAATATATCTATATATAATAAAAAAAAAATATATAATTTTTGTTTTTTTCTTATATAATTTATTTTTGTAAATTTTTAACTAATAATTTTTAAAAAAACATAGTTTTTATTTATCATTTTATTGCATTCTATTTAATTAAAAATAATAGAATAGACTTTTGTAAGAATTGCATTTTTTTTTTATTAGAATAATAATTATTAAAAAAAAAAAAAAAAATAATCTATGAAGATAGTTTTATAATAAATAAAATTAATATTAATAAAGACTAGTTAATACAATATTTTTTTTTTATATAAAAAACTCATTCAATTATTAAAATTAAATATATAAGAATATAAAAATAAATTTAAATATATAAAATAATTTTTAAAAGAAAAGATATTTAATAATTAAAATAGAAATAATTTTAAATTAAATAATATTTCGTGAATATTAAAAAAATAAAAAAAAATATGTAATTAATAATTATTAAAAAATATAAAATTAATTAAAAAATAATTTATTTATATTTTTATAACTTGTATATTACTTTATTTAGTAATATCCATGTTTATTTTTATAAAAACTATAAAAATTACGTATTTAATTTAATAATATATTATTATATGAATATAATTTTAATATTTATTTTTAATAATAAAAAATAATTAATTAATTATTATTATAAACTAATAAAATATTTATTTATTTAATAAATATATATAAAATAAATAAAAATGCATATATAGAATATTTAAAAACTATTTAAAATATTATCTCCTTTTTAAGATTTTATATAAAATTCTAAATTGAATATTTTCGACATTTTCATTACAGGCTTTTATTGCGGATTAGATTCTGATATAGATAATATTAAAAATGTTATAAATGAATTATAGAATGTTTGTTCATAAAATAATTTAAAAATTTCCATAAGTGAATAAGATAAGCCTTTTAATGAAAAAAGTAATACATTTAAAGAAATAAATAGTCCCTATAAATAAAAAAATTAGATAGTTATATAATTAAATTAAAATGAAAGTTTAGAATAGAAATAAGAAGATTTAAAAAAAACAGAAGAATTAATTTAAAGAATATAAAATGAAGAGTAAAAAATATAAGAGTAAATAAGGAGCAATAGAAAAAAAGAAGAAGAATAAGATTGTCCTATATGCCTTGATTAACTTCATAATGAAAAAATTATTCCAATGGATTTATGTGACCATGTATTTCATTAAGAATGTTTGATATAATATATTAAATAAAAAGTAAAATTTCATATTTTTAAATTTAATATAAACCAATTATTCTTTAAACCTAAAGATTGATGATAAATAAGCCTAAATTGTATGTCCAGATTAGAATTGTAAAGAAGAACTATTAGTCAATGAGTATAATTAATTGTTGGGAAAATAATACATATAAAAATACGAAAAAAACACTGTAGATTAATATTATAGTAATCATTCGAATGAGGTTTTTTATATTGTTAAAAATAAAAAAAAACTAAACTAAAAAAGATGTCATGGTGTCCTACTCCTGATTGTTAATATGTTTTTATTTATGATGAATAGATAGATGGTACACATTTTAGATGTCCAGTTTGCAAAATTTAATATTGTTTAAAATGTAGGGTTTAATATCATGAAAATTAAACATGTAAAGAATATATGATAAGCAATTAAAGGGATTAGAATGATGTAAAATTCGAAAAATTTATTAAAGGAAAAAAATTTAAATAATGTTAAAAATGCAAGTTTTGGGTAGAAAAAAATCAAGTATTGTTTTATTTAATTTATTAAATTATAATTCAATCAACCTTATTATAAAATAAAGGGTTGTAATCATATGACTTGTATATGTGGATATTAGTTTTGTTATAAATGTGGTGGAAAATATCAATAATGTGAATGTGTATAAAAAAGAGAATAAATTGTTGAGAAAAAAAGATAAGAAAGAGAGTAAAAAAAAAAAGAAAACTTAAATTCAAAAAGAGGTAAAAATAATTAATATGAATATTAAATTAAAATGCATTTAAATTTAATATTTTATTTTATTTAATATTTAATGTTAATATTATAACATGTTTTATTTAGGAAAAAAAAATGCCTAGAAATAGAGCATTAAATGATAATTTAGACAATTAAAAAAATATAAATTATATAAACTTTTTTATTTTGTTTTTTAATAATAGAAAGTACATTTTAAACTAAAAAACTATATGAATTTATATAAATATTAATTATAAAAAATTTCATAAAAAATAATATTAAAAAGAAATAATATTAAAATATAAATATATATAAAAATAATTAAATATAGTATCTATTATAGAAATATATAAAATTCTATATATATAAATATATATATATATATAAATATATATATATATATATATATATATACATTTATATATATTTTATTTAATAAATTTATTAATATAATTTTAACATATGTTAAATCTAAATTAATTTTCATAATTTATTAAGGATACATAACATAAAAAAATATAAATATAGTATAAATTAATGATATTTATATATAATTTTAAAGCGATTTTTAATGAATATAATTAATTTTAAATTTGTAAATTTTTTCTAATAAAATGAATAAATAATATTATAAAATAATAAAATTACAAATACTTTAAAAAAAATAAAAACTATTTTTAAAACTTAAAAAATAATTATTTAATTATATAATAAAAAAAAATATATATTAAGAAAAAATAAAAATTAATAACATATGACATCTATATTATATAAAAACATTCATAAATCTGCAAGTAGATTATAAGATATATTAACAGTTCTTCAAAAATTGGAAGATAAAAAATATTTAGAAAGATTATCTGACTTATATTAAGAAATATTTACTGAAGAATAAGAATTTACAATAACAGGTATATATAAATTATAAAAATAACTGACTATTTATATTATTATTATTTTTAACAAAAAAGAATTATAAAGATTAATGGCGGATCGTCCAAAAAGTAAATATATGGACATAACTGAATAATTTAAATTAAATACTTAAATATTTAAATAAAACTTTGAATAGATTAATAATATAATAAGTAAATAAACAAACAAACAAATACCAATTTTTTTAAAAATAATTTATAAATAATAAATTAGTGAATTAAGTTTGGGAGTTAATATTGCATAATAATCAAAAAATATATAAGATAAAGATAACGAAATAAAGAATAGTTTTTAAGAGCAAATATAAGTTTCTTAATAGCAAAATTAGTAAGAGGAAAGCAAAATATAATAAAAAAATCCTTAAGTAAGTACAACTAACAGTATATATGCATCAATAAATATGAGTTAAAATAATAATTCTTAATAATATTATTAATATAATAATGGAGACAGTAATAAGAAAAAAAATCTGAGATAAGGAAATTAAAATCATTCTATTGATAAAAACTTACAAGAATAATCGTAAAGATTAAAGATTACAAATTAATAAAATCATAATTAATCAATAAATGAAATATTAAAATAATAAGAAAAAAAACTTAATAGCATGAGTATGTCTATGAATAGTGTAAAATACTTTTCTTAATCAAAATTAGAAATACCTTTTGTAAAAAAAAAAAAAAAATTATTTAAATTAAAAATTTAAATATATATATAAAAGTCTGAAAGAAAAGAAATTAAAAATCCACTTTAAACAAGCTTTTCTAAAGCTCCAAGAAATTTAATGGAAACAAATATGAGTTAGTCTCCTGGACCTTTAGATTATTAAATATAATAAGCTGATAAATTAATTATGAAAAATTCACCTAAAGCATCATTTGGGGTTTCAAAAAAATAAAATTATTTAGATTAGAAACTTAAATAAGATTAATAAATACCAGGACCTTAATATAATGTAAGTCAAGCTGGAATATTTAAACCAATGAAAAAAACAAACTATTGAAAAAAAAAAAATATAAATACATATTAATAAAAATATTATATATATATATAAATATGTCCATATATATATATATATATATATATATAAATATATATATATATACATGTATTTATATAATAATTTATATTTGAATTGAATTTTTGATTTTTTATCTATAACAAATTTTTTTGTTATATATATTTTTTTTTTTTCAATAATTTTTTTATTTTATATTTATTTAATATTTTTATTTATTTGATTTAGATTTTTTCTATTTTAAATTTAATTTAGGTATTGAAAATAATTATTATCCAGGTTAAGGCAAAGTTTTTGATTCTATATCTAAAGGTTTTCCTAAAGAATTAATTAATTTTTTACATGAAATATTTATTTTTTTTTTAAGATATTTTTCCTTAACTGCAAAAACCTCATTATATGTTTAGACTTTATTTATCATCTAATTAAAAACTTCATTAAATTTTCTATAATAAAACTACTTTCTATTATTTATAGAAAGACTATATATTTTTTTTTTTTGAATATCTTCATTATCATCATCTTAATTAATTTTAGATTTATTTAAAAAACTATTTTTTAAAATTGAGTTTTTGGTTATTCTTATTTGATTAATTTTATTTTTTTTAATTTGATTTTCTAATTCTTCTTATTTTTGTGGTGGTAATCTTTTTTTTATTTCTTCATTTAGATTTTCTACTTCAATCTAACTATACCTTTTTTATTAAGAATAAGTTAATTTTTCAGACTATACATCATCTTCACTTTTAATTATTTAATTTTAATCTTTCAGTTTACTTAAGACTGATTTCGAATTTTATTAAGAATCAGAATAAATGTCTTCTTTTTTATAAATTTATTAATAATTATTTGAAATTTATTGTTTTTATTGTTAAGTAGATCTTAAAATATCTACATATTTTTTATATTCATCTTATATTTCTTAAAATTCGGGATTTAAATCACTTTTTTTTTAGTTTGATGAACTTAATTGAAAAAGTTTTATTAAGAAATGGTTAATTCGTTTTTTTTTAATATTTAAGATTCAAATATACCTTTATTTATTTAATAATGTCTTATAAAATTTTCTGTTTCTTCTATTTCCCTTTTTTCTTTTAAATATTTATTTCTTTCCATTAACCATAGTTTCTCAAGTCGAATTTCTTCCAGTTTATTTGAAAGTTTATATACTAAATATTTTGATCGGCTTTCTCCTTGAGGTTTATCATTATTTACATAGCTCATTATATTTATCTAATCATCATTATAAGATAATTTATTAGGTTATAAAATACCTTATTTTTTATTCATTTATTGTCTTTCTTATAATTCATGGTCTTCCTTTTATTCTCCCTATTGTTTTTCTTGATATTCTTATTCTTCTTCTTGATTATATTACTTTTTTTATTTATATTGGATGCCTTGTTTTTTATTGAACTAAAAGAAATTATTTCCTGTATAATTCCACATAGATGAAGAAGTTGTAGTTCTCAAAGGATCAGTGTTTTCATATAAAGATTACTCCTCAGCCTTTTGAGAATTTTAACTACTAAGTTTATTAAATTAATTTTATGAATTATTATCGTCTTATGATAATGGACGTGTTAAAGAAGTATTTTATAAATTTATTTACTATAGGTTTATTAGTTCTTTTCTTTTATACTATTTAATTCTATATTTTTTTTATTTTGTATTTTTTTATATTTTTTTATTTACCTTTCTGAAGGAGGATCTATATGGATTTACTTAGATCTGTAGTTTTAATCGTAATCATTTTTATCTATTTATTTAAATTTTAAATTTTAATCGAAATATTCATTTTCGTTATGAGCAATTTTATTTATATCTTTTTTATTATTTTCATGTTTTTTAAAATGCCAATTATATAAACTTTATATATATATTTGTTAAACTTTCTTATCTCGTGTGCTTTGTATTTCTTTTAGGTTGTCTTATATGTTATGTTTTTTTTTTAAAAAAATAATAATTGATTATAAGTTATTACTAAACAATATATATATTAATTTTTGTATTTACAATGTAAATTCTTCATTTAATTATATTTTAATATCATATTATAGTTTGCTTTAATTTATTTTTGTTATAAAATTTCGTTCCATTTTGAAATTTCATCATATAGTTAAATAAAATTTGAATTTTCTTTGAGTTTCTCATCATTCAATTATTCAATTTTTAATGGAAAAAAAATTTAAGATTTATCTAAATACATAAAAAAATAAAAAATATAATTAAATATTTTAGAAATAAAATAAAAATTAATATTTTTATAATAGAGTTATTAAATATTTTATTAATTTCAATATACCTGAATATTTTAATAAATAAATTATCTAGATTTTATAAAAATTTTATTTTTTATAAATTATTAAATTTAAGTATAATTTTATTATAATTATATTACAATTTTACTTTTGATAATTTAATTGTATTATGTATTTTTATTTATAATAATTATAAAAATTCACAATTAATAGATTATAATCAAGTGTTATTTAATTGTATTAACAAAATGATACTTCATAATTAAATAAATATATTTGTTGAGTAATTATTTAACTATAAAATTATAATAATAACTACTTTTATAATTATATTATCAATTTTATATAATTAATTAATAAAGATTAATATAAAAAATATTTTATTTTATTTTTAATGATAAAAATTATGTTTAATAATTATTAACTTTCAAATTAATGAATAATTTAATAAGTTCTATAAATTTTATAAATATTTTAAAATTAATATTAAATCCAAAAACATGTGTATTATTTATTTAACAAAAAAATTAATTTTAATATTTATTAAATAAAACTTATTAAATACTATTGATTTTTAAATACAAATTATTATTAAAATTATTTTATTTAAAAAGAAATACATGTATTAATATATATAAATATATATATATATAATTTAATATATATATATATTTAATTTAATATAAAATACAATATTTTTTTTATAATAATGGGAAATCATTGTTCTTGTTTTAAATATTTTGATAATATAGAATTAGATTTGATTTAAATTCCAATAAATAAATAATTTAAAATATTTTATTTTAATTCAACTAGATATTTATAAAACGAAAATAATTCAATTGTTAAAATATAGACTTTAATTCGAATGTTTTTAGCCAAAAAAAGTTAAGTAAATTAAAGTTGTTTTAAATAAGTTAAAAATTAATGAATAATTAATTACTTATAGCCAAACGATATAAACATACAATCATAAGTATAATTTACCTTTTAATTATTTACACGACGATATAAATGATCCAAATTCATGTTTAAAATAATTAAGAGGATAAATGGATTTAGGTGATAATATAGTATATTTCGGAGAATGGATAGATGATATAAAACATGGAAAAGGTGTTCTAACCTGGAAAGATGGATCAAAATATGAAGGATATTTTAAAAATAATAAAGCTCATGGAAGAGGAAGGTTAATTCATGCAAATGGTGAAATATATGAAGGTTAATGGGAAGTATAAAATTCAAAAAATTTAATTCTGAAGTTTTTCTTTTTATTTAATTTAAAAAAAAAAAATCTATAAAAATTATTTAAAATAATTACTAAAGTTTTTTATTAATAAATAAAAAAGTATGATAAAGCTTAAGGCTATGGCATTTATATGCATTTAGATGGCGCTACATATGAAGGATAATGGATGAATGATTAATAAGAAGGTTTGGAATTGAAAAATGGTCAGATAAATCAGTTTATGAAGGAATTTTTAAATAAGGTAAAAAAAATGGAAAAGGAAAATTTATTTGGGGGGATGGGTCTATTTATGAAGGAGAGTTTGAAAATAATAATATATAAGGATATGGAAAATATATATAAAATGATGGCAAATATTATGAAGGTTAATGGGTTTAAAATAAAAAATAAGGACATGGATAATTTGAATGGGCAGATGGAAGGAAATATATTGGATAGTTTTTTTAAGATTTGAAAGAAGGATATGGAGTTTTACTGTTTGAAGATGGAAGGAAATATATTGGGGAATGGAAAGATGATAAATAAAATGGATTTGGAAGCTTTTATATGAGTAGTGGACATAGAAAAGAAGGGATTTGGGCAAATGGAAAGTTTTTTAGCGAGATAAATGAGGAAAGTTAAAGTAATTAAAAATGAGTAAATTACTATATTTATTATTTTAATAAATATATATATATAATTAGTTTATCTTTTTAGTTTTTTTTTTTTTTTTTTTTATAAAAAAATTTAATAACTGAAATTTCATTTTTTTTTTAATAATGAAAATAAAAAAAAATTCTATTTTTTTTTTTTTTTTAGTCAATTTAAAGTTTTAATAATGCAATTATTATTTTTATCAAATTCAAGTTAAATAGTCTAAGCATAATTTTAATATTTATTTACTGATGGGTTTTTGTAACATTCCGTTTAACTATTATTATTTATGAATTTCTCTTAATATTCAGCAGGTTAATGGTTTTTAGAGAATTAAAGCTATTCAAGAGCTTATTAATTTCTTTATTTTGTATAATTTAATGTATTGATTTTGTTCATTTCTATTTATTCAAGCTTTTTTAATATTTCTTCTTTTTATTTTAATTATTCTTATTCTCTTTAAAAAATTTAGTTTTTTCTTTTAAAACCGTTTCAAGTTTTCTTTGTTTGTATTCCAATTACTTTTACTTGGATATTTATTACTGTTATTTCACTTATGAAACTTTCCATTTTAAGTTTTCTTATAAAATTTAATCTTCCATTGACTTTTTGGAATACAATTCGGCTATTTCGTGTTTTAAATTATATGATTTTTCTTTATTTTATTCCTGTTAAAATTGCTTTGCAATTTAGCATTTTAGCATATTTAATTAGCCTTTGGGATGTGTAAAAGGAATTTCCTCTACTATTATTTTTTTCTTCTATTATTATTCTTTCTTTTATATATTTTTTTTAATATAATTTACTAATATATAAATTGATTTATATATATATAGTACTTTTTATTAAATTTGCTTTTTTTTTTCAAAAATGTAATTCGCTTTGTTTGTTAAATCCTCAGCTTTTTTTTATAAAACTATTTCTTCTTGTAATAATTTGTTGATTCTATTAGTAATTACATTTAATTTTAATAAAGATTTCTTTCCTTTTTATTTTGCTTAATATAATGAACCGATCTGAGGGCTATTATTATAAAAGTGCAGTTTAAGATTAAGAAGCATTTTATTAAGAATTAGCAAAATTTCTATTAGTTATAACATTATTCGAATTTTTAAACTTTGCTTAAGATTAAGTAATATTTTTTTCACTCATTTTAATAAATAAATTTTTATATGTTATATAAAAATAAAGTTATTTTTTATTTAAAAATTAATAAAAAGTAATATCAAAACAAGTGATAAATTATATATATTTTATTTTATTTAAAAATAAAATTATTAAATTTTTTTTAAAAAAAATAATTTATAATTAAAATAAAATAAAATTTATTATATGAGAAAGATAAGAATATATAAAAAAGTAAAATATGAAGATTTGTAAAATTATATTATAATTTAAAGATAAAAAATATAAAATTTGTTTTTATATTTTTTTATATATTAAAAATAAAAATAGAAATGAATTTAAAAAAAGATAAAAATATATACATATAGAATATAAAATGATAAAAATAAAATAATAAATAAAAATATTTATATATTATAATATAAAGATTAAAATATATAATAAATATATAATATATAATATATAATATTAATTTATAATTTTATATTTATTAAATTTTATTATATATATGATGTTTA